GGCTTTATGATGACTTGAGAAGAATGTGGACGGTGTTCATGACTTGATCTGCTGTACTACATCGGCATTTGCGTGCCGGGGCTGAGGCAAACCACGACAAATCTCAGGATCAAGATAACCAGATTTTATCGCGACACATTCGAGAAGACGTGATGCACCAGCCGAGGGACCCACTCAGCAAAGAACTCCCTGGGCTCCCGATGGAACCACTCCGCGACCTTGATGTCTTCATCCGCGTACCTTTAATGGTCTCTTGTGAGGGCCGAACTCACGGCGACAGGTCCGAGCTGTATGGGGGGGTGGTGCAGCGTGTCCCGGACATCGCGGGCCACATGTGGAGGGGCAGCTATCGTGAGGGCGCGTATATTCGGATGGGATAAATACGACAAGGCGGTAGTGGTGCATTGGTTCCAGCAACGACTCTTTGCAGAGGGGATCTATCGGCCGGGGGCCAATGAGGTGCCTACCTCAATGTCCACAGGGACTATTTTTAACGGCCTCCACTGGTTCGATCAGAACGACACAAGAGCGGGTTTCATTTGAACAATCCTAGTATTCTTATGCATTTTCTATATATGAAAGGTAAAGCTATCTGTAACAAGCCGTTGGGGCTCATAGGATTGCGAGACGTTCAGGTTTTCACATTTTCTAGACAATCGGCTCACAGATGGAGGTGAGATTGTTAGCCTTACGCGCCGGCCACTTTTTAGTCCCAGGAAGATTCCTGGTACTCATTTCTGTTAGAAGCTGAGTCGACCCAGGGTCACAGTGCGGCTGTAAGGATTACGTCAACTGAAAAATCCAACGACTTCATCGGGAATCGAACCTGTGATCTTCCGGTTTGTAGCATAGTGCCTCAACCAACTACGCGATTGCGCGGCTCGCAGTTTTTATATAAAAAGTACAAAGTGAATGCATAGTGGAGAGAACATGTCCGCCCTCGTTACTTCAGAATTTTGACGAATTTACTTATTTGGGGAGGCTACACTTCCGTCAAAATACATTAAATCATATTCCAGAAGACTGTGGGCCTACTCTATATATTCACCCCTCGAGAATCTCGAATCTAAGATCAATAAATAAAATGTGACCGACTTCAAACTTTTC